TTTTTCTCAATAACGGTTAACGTTAGGTATAGAATGTTTAATATCAAAATTCATAAAATTTTACAGAGAATTTAAGTATGTAATAAAAAATGGGGTTACCCATTTAAAATAAGAAAGTTGCTGTCAACTTCCGGTACTTCCGAAAGTGCCGCCATATTGAAAATATTTTTAATCGATAGATCTCATTGTGAAACAATGATATGCACAAAATCTCGTATCTAGATATTGCAGTTTTCTAGAAACTTCTAACGCAGGCTCAGCCTGGGACACCTTGTATAAATACTTGAATTTTGTCAACCATTATACATACGTCACTCAATTTTTACAAAATGCTTTAATGTGTGTGATGCTTTAAAATGTGCATTAGAAGTATATCGTTATCTAAACAGACCGGGGCGCGGGGCCACATTTAGCTTCGCCACCCCGGGCCCCCGACAGGCTTAGTCCACCACTTAGATTAAGCCACCACTGGGGAAGGGTGCACGTAATATTTCCAGTATGTATCGCCTAAAATTCATTAACCGGATAAATATATGCGCCCAATTTTTTCGGTACTAGGGTCTCTATGTAACTTATAATTTGTCAAAATGGTTATCAGTGGGGTTTGAAAATTTACATAATCACGAATCCTCTTTTTCAGTTAAAAATATAACATTACATAGGGTTGCCTTACAACCTTTTTGAAAAGTAAAAAAAATGACATTGGACTATGAAAAAGGACCGGTGGGGAGGGGGGGTAACCGCTGATTATTAATCGCTAGTTTAAAATTTTGAAAAGCTCTTTTAAACATCAAAATGGTTAAAAATAACACTAAATATTCAGTGTCTAAACTATCATTTCAGATTAAACGGCGAGTTCTATAAATAATGTTGCCGATTCTAAATTAGTATACTGTTTTATTAGAATTAAAAATTATACTTTTTGTGGCGAGGCTGTAGGTACGTTTCACATTACAGGAGAGGCACAAAAATAATTTTTCTCCGAATAGAACATGCTATTTTTTTACAAACGTTCACAAATAATAATTTTTTAAACAATTGCTAACGCAATAATCTTCAATTGCAAATAATATAAAAATATTTAAAAGTAATACCCGGGAAGTAATTATACAGGGTGTCCGGAAATTAATGCAACAAAATTTGGTCATAGATTCTTGAAAAAAGAACAGGTGACCCGTCGTATTTTTATTTTTGGCCCCCCTTTTCGGATTTACAGCCCCCTGAATTTCGCCCCTAAAAAGAGTTTTTTTTTAATATCTCAGGGCCCTGTTGGACGAAAATCACTAAATTTGGTACATGTTGTTTTACCATGAAATGACATTTTTTGATGCTATTAACTTTTTTTCTTTTCATCAGTGGTGTCCCTACGGTATTTAAATAAATATTATTGAAGAAAAAAATGATACGCTACTGTTTTTTTTTAAATAAAAATTATTTTTAAAATCTATATTAAATTTGGAACAACTTTATCTCATGATTTTTTTTCGTACGACGCACCATTTTCGCATAAAAAAATAAAAACCATTTTCATACATGACCAAATCGCTAAAATTTTAATGTAAATTTTCATAGCAAAATTTAAAAAACGGCAATTTAGGTTTTTGGACATTTTGGTTTGCACTTTAAAACAAGATTTTGGAAAAAAAAATATTTTAAACTTAAGTTTGCCGTTTTAAAAATTTTGCCATTGAAATTTAGTGGTAAAATTTTAGTGATTTAGTCATGTTTTTATTTTTTTACGCGAAAATGGTAAGTCGTACGGGAAAAAGTCAAGAAATAAAGTTGTTCCAAATTTAATGTAGATTTTAAAAATAATTTTTATTTAAAAAAACAGTGGCGTACCATTTTTTTCTAAATAATATTTAGTTTAAATACCGTAGGGACGCCACTGATGAAAATAAAAAAAGTTAATAGCATCTAAAATATCATTTTATGGTAAAACAACGTGTACCAAATTTAGTGATTTTCGTTACACAGGGTCCTGAGATATTAAACAAAATCTCTTTTTAGGTGAGAAATTCAGGGGGCTGTAAATCCGAAAAGGGGCACTACTCGCCAAAAAAAAATACGGGTCACCTATTTTTTTTTTCAAGAATCTATGACCAAATTTTGTTGCATTAATTTTCGGACACCCTGTATATCGAGAAATTATGATTGATTATGATTACCCTCCTTGAAGTTGACATTTTATGTCAGTTTAATAATATATTATGAATATACCGTATGATCGAATAAAACCGGCGTCAGCGATGGCTATGAAATGAAGATCGCTGTCATTTTATATGTAAATTTATATGGGAAATGTCATCGATGTTCATTTCATAGCCATCGCTGACGCCGTTTTTATTCGATCATACGGTATTTTCGTACTTCTGTGCTTAAAAATGCTTTACTTTTGTCCTTAAGCGTAAAATTACTTTACTATGCCTAAGCGTTGAAATTACTTTTTTATATTGCAGCAAGGTCGCAAAATTAATACTTTTGTGACGTTTGAAAAAGAAACATATATGAAGCGAACCAAATTCAAGCCAAAATTAACGGGGTCCTGACCGAACCAATAAATGTAGGCCGGGGTATCCGGCAAGGTGACTCCCTGAACCCTCTTCTTTTCAACATCATTATGGACGAAATAATAGGCAATGTACGTTTACAGAAGGGGTACAGTATGGGCGACCAGGAATAAATTACTATTCTGTGCTATGCCGACGATGCGTCTGGGTCCGACGACGCGTCTGGACGTCGCGACGGGTCCGGTGAACTATCCTGACACACGATTTTTGCATTTTTCTTTTTTTTTATCAAAAAGTAAGCATTTTTAATAGTAGTTTTAAATAAAAGTAAATGGAGATTTTGCACAGAATTTTAAAATATTTTAATTTAATTTTCGTAGTTTTTGACACATATTTGACGTTATGGAGAATTTTAACACTTGATTTAATATGACAGCGACAAAAGGAAAAGCAATGTTGCCAGTTCCACTGAATTTTCTTTTTCTGTTTTTTATTTTTATTTTGAAAAAATAGCAATTTTTAATAATAAAAATGCGTTGGTAATGTGTGAATGGGAAAACAAAAAAAAACAACAGAAAAGTGAAACAAAAGCAACCAAAACACGCTTGGTGGCTTTTGTTTCGCTCTTGTTTAAACCAAAATATCAATCAAACAGATAAAAAGAAAAAAAAACAGCCAAATCAACCCAAACCAACTCGACCAAACCCTAACCAACCCATACAAAACCAACCAATACAAAACCAACCAATACAAAACCAACCAATACAAAACCAACCAATACAAAATCAACCAATACAAAACCAAACCAAACCGATCAATACCAAACCAACTCAACCCGAGCCAAACACAAACCAAAGAAATGAAAACACGCTTACAGCGTGTTTTCTTTGCTTTGGTGGCTTCCAGCCTACAGCGTGTTTTCATTGCTAGAGCTATAACTAGCAATTGTCTCGCCGGCGCGGTAATTTAGCCAATTTGATAAACTAAAGTAATCTAATTCGTATTAAAAAAAAAATTAAAACTATGACGTAATTTTTCCCTAAACAAAAAAGATGTATGAAATTCCGGATAATTTACTAGCTGATCTGACAACCATGTATCATTTCGCAATATTTGTCAAAATTCGACCTTCACTACTGTTAGCGTAAACATAGAAACGGATATAAACAAGTCCGCAACTCTTTCATTATCACAAAACATCCCCCTTTAGAACTTCGTCTGTCATGTTAAGAAATGAAAGTAAATAATAAAGCGCCTCTCGTGTTTGTTCGCACTCAAAAAATTTCAATTAATGCCTGTATATATTTTTAATATATTTTTTAAATTTACATTTTTTTAATTAAAAAGTAATATATTACATTTAAATGGATTATATTACATAACAATTATGTCGATTACAGGATTACAAGCTTGTTTTCTAACATTTTTTAAATAAAATTTAGAAATTATAAAATTTCAATATATGTATATTTGTCGTAGGTATGAAAAAAGCGTATACCGAAAAAAGTTAAATATAAAATGAACAAACGCTTACTTACATTGCAATAAAATTTCCACTTTTAGTTTTGCAATCCAAACGCAATATTTCTATTTCGCAAATAAAAATATCCGACCACACTAAAATCACTGAAACTTCCGCGGCTGACAACGAAAACTGAAAAATATAACGGCACTTTTTGTTTTGGACCTGCATATTAACATTACGCTGTACTATTATGTGTTTGTTGTTGAAATAATATAAAATATTTAATTATAACTTGTAAATTTTAATATTTTAACATGATTTTAACTACTTTTGACAATAACTAACTTTTTATCAAGATGACATTTTAGACGGTAACTGACATATATGTCATAATATTGAATCTTAAATATCTATGTCAGAGATGTATGTAATATAATTTAAATGCAACTTTATACTAAGAAAACATTTATACTTTCACAAAATACAACAAAGTCTAATAATATAGTTTGAAAACAATGAATATTGAATTAAAATTGACAAAGTTAAGCGCGACCCCTAGTGTCAAAATTAGATAATTAAATTTTCGCAATTTTTACACCATTTGATGACCGGTGGGGCCTCTAGTGTTTGTTCGGGCGGATGGTCTTTTACTCCCGCTTATGGCCATTAAAGAAAAAGTTCTAAAGTGGGATGTTTTGTGTTCATTATCGGTTATGGAATTTGCCCTGGAATTTGCTATAATGTATAAAAATCAAATAACAATATTTTTAAGAATATTTTTTATGTGAAACGTGTTTTTCCATATCAGATTTTAATCAAAGAATCCAAGAAATTCATTTTAAGGTATCATAAACTTCATTTTCTAAGAAAAATCGTGTGTCAGGATAGTTCACCGAAGCCACCGATGACGCCGTATTGGTAGGGGAGAGGGTGGAGCATTCGGTCAGGAGGAGGCTTTGGCCGAATTCAAATACTCTCTCTTTATATGAAATTCTAGGGTTTTCCGTCACGTCGGGACCAGCCGGCTGTTAACCACTGCCATTAATGTCATTTCTACGTGAAAATATGGTTGTGAGTTCGTAAAAATTGTTAAGTGTTTTTTTGATGGTATATCGGTAAGTATTTCGCCAGTATCAATTAGCCTTTGGGTATTTGTGATAGTATGCATTATGATGTAAGAATTACAATGAAACAGAAAGCTAACCTAAAAATAAACCCGTTTCTAAACAAAATATTAATTTCGTGAAATTTGCACAGTGGGGAGCGTTCGGCCCAGCGTCCAAGGGAGGTTTCGGCTGGCCGAAGTCTCCTCATCAGAAGCTTTCGGCCAATTATCTGCTCACTTCTGATTGATTATTTTCTTCCCTTTTGTTCTAGAAGGTAAACATGCCAAGAGTATATAAAAGGAAAACTGCCCGGGAGGTGGATGAGAGACGCATGAGGAATGCAATTTGTGCATATCTAAAAGGCGAGCTGGGTCTCAATGCTTCCGCAGAGAGGTTCAATGTGAAGAGAACAACTCTTCAATCAAGAGTGAAATGCCTGCTAGAAAAGAAAGAGAAAGAAGAAATAATCAGAAGCATGGAGGACTCTGGCAATGAAAGTGACGATCAATCACGCCTTTCCAAATATGGAAATAAATTCAAAACATCGCAAATATTCTCTGTTGAAGAGGAACGGGAGCTTGCCAAATACCTCAAGCAATGCTCAAACCTAAACTATGGTCTAACTTATCACCAGATTGAACAACTGGCATATGAGTATGCAAAGGGTATACCCGGAGATCTGGTTCCAGATAAATGGGAAGAAAGGAGATGTGCTGGTAAGCCTATGTGAAATAATAAATTTGCCTGCCTTAATTTGTTTTTTATATTCCAGGAACGGAATGGAGAAAAGGATTCATGAGACGGAATGCTGACCTATCACTTAGAAAACCAGAGAGCACGAGTTTGATGAGGGGCACTGGCTTTAACAAGCCTAGGGTCATGGAGTTTTTTGATAATTACGAAAAAGTAATAAAAAAATATTGCTTTAAACCAGAACAAATTTATAACCTGGTTGAAACTGGTTTGTCGACTGTCCTGAAGCCAGTCAAAGTTGTGAGCACAAAAGAGAAAAAACAGGTCGGTCAAGTTTCTAGTGCAGAAAGGGGAGAAACAGTTACGTTTGTCGGAATTATTAATGCCATTGGTGGATCAATACCGCCTGTCTTTATATTTCCAAGACTTCGGAATATTGATGAGTATTTGACCGATGGGCCAATTGCCAGCATTGCCTTGGGGAACAAATCTGGTTGGATGACTTCCGAACTATTCATAGAAGTGCTTCGGCATATTGTGCAAAAAACAAAATGCTCGATGGAGAATAAGATTCTACTTTTGATCGATAATCATGAGAGCCATGTCTCCGTCGAAGCCATTATCTTTTGCCGTGATAATGGAATAATACTACTTTCCTTTCCGCCCCACACTACACACAAACTCCAGCCACTCGATGTTGCAGTTTATGGACCGTTTAAATCTAAGTTAGCGATCGCCCAGAATGACTGGATGATTCAAATCCAGGACGAACGCTGGCGATACGGCAAATCGCAATGCATGCAAATATCGCTTATCTACAAACTTTCACTCCATCCAATGTAACTAGTGCCTTCAAGAAGACTGGAATTTGGCCTTTCAACAGACTTACCTTCACTGATGAAGACTTTACTCCTTCTATCTTTACCGACAAACCTCTACCGAAAGAAAAAACGCCGGTGCCGGATGGCCCCGAACCCAGACCTCAGGAAAAAACACCAGAGAAACATACCACTCTGAATGACTCAACCATGGAACCCCTGCCTTCAACATCACAAGTCAATAGTGCTGAGACTGATCCAACTTTCCATTCCAACGACATATCAGGTCTTGCCAAGACAGGTGGTAATACGAATTTAAGCATTCTCGAAAAAATAAGACCGTTTCCCAAATTAGACTCATTGAACATAAAGAAAAGAAAAAGGAAGACTGAATCGAAATCAAGAATATACACAGACACCCCAGAATTTCAAATAAAACAAAACATACAACTTGAAAAAGACAGAAAAAAGAAAGTTGGTGAAACCAAAGTTAAAAGGAAAGTTCTCATTGAGGAGTCATCTAGCGATTCTGACATTTCGGCGGAACTTAACAATTCAGACGATGATGCAGAATCGTTCTCGTCTTTGAAAATGGCGGGAGACGAAAGCGAATACAACCTTCACGAGTTTGTTCTGGTAAAATTCTCCAGGAAAAAGAGTGACTCCTATTATATTGGGCAAATCACCACGGTTGATGACGACCAGATGACGGTTTCATTTCTCAGAAGAAAAGGAAAATCAAATTCTTTCAATTTTCCTGATGTAGAGGACACAAGCTCCATTTCTCGTGACGACATTGTAGCAAAGTTGGAAGTCCCACAAAGAACAGGCACATCGGCATCCAGAACATTGTGTTCATTCCGTTTCAACTACAATTTTGAGTCGTATGATGTAAGGTAGAGAAGATGGAGGAAAACAGACTTTTTCTAATCGGTAGAATAGGTGTTACTTTATTTTTCTCTTGATTAAACTGAAATAATATGACCTCAGTTGTTTTAGTTTCAACCCAAATTATTTATTACGTCTTCTGAAAACTTATTTCTATGGCAACGAAGCCTCCCTCCGATTTTATCTCACCATGCCGAAGCCTCCTCATGTGAGGGAGCGTTCGGCCAATTTGTATCAGCGGTTCAAAGTCAAAATTCAAAAGCTGAAAACAAAGATGGACTGGTTTTACTGGATGAATCTATTGGCTAATTGCATAACGATAATTGTGACATCCGTACATTTGCCTTAGCACAGAAAGCAGTCAGGTGGGATCAAAAGATCTTGAAAGTAGCCGAATGCTCCACCCTCTCCCCTACCTGAAAATGAGGATAATCTACAGCGCTTATTACATCGATTTAACTGCACTGCCAAATAACTATGGGGGTGCAACTTTGTTCAAGTTAGCAACCGATCGTTTAGAAGCGATGTCGAAACCAGATCGGTACTATGTTCATTGCAAAACTATTGTCGCTCAAATACTGCGAAATATGATATCACTCTCACACTCTTGCACACATGTGCGACACGGTTTAGGCTATGTCTAGGCAGTCGCCTCGCCACAAAGCGAGAAATCAGAATATCGCTACGAATCGATGTTGCTACTGAACATAGTGCCTCAAGCTACAAATTACTTTACTATCGCTTTGAAACATGAACAAAGTTGCACCCCAGACCGATAAACTACGGTAATGAGCGGTTCCTGAAAAACATCGGTTCGATACGGAACGGTTTGGTAAAATACTGGAAACGTCAAATGTTAAAAATTACATAAATTTGGCCTTCTTGACACTCCTTCGAAATAAATGGAACGCTATTTACATAAACAACAGAAACTAAATTTCAAGTCTCATTCAACGCCAACTGGGACACATTTTACTGCCACCACCCGCCATCAATCCATCCATCCCTAAACCTTCCTTTCTAATTTTATGGACCCAACAACCCTCCAAAACGACTAATTTTCACAGAAAAACGAACAATTAGCCATGGGCTGTTACAGTCCTGCCCGATGACCTATTTAAACATTACTAATGACAACCGGAAGTGACCGTTTGGGCCATTTTCGACGCTCAATTTGTGCAATAAAAGGCACTTTTGTGAGCCGGACACGAAGATACGTGATAATGGAGCGATTCGGAAGATTTGCGCTCTATTTCAATAGCTAGATACAAATATGGGTTGCCTAATGGGAAAGTGTGCTAGATTTTTGTTATATCGTTACGGAAATGTTATCAATAGAATCGAAATTTAAATTTTAAATGTGCTTCTGGCGATCTACACAACTATGCTAACAAGAGAAAAAAAGTCAGTGGCGCACATTTTTTTTTTAATATACAGGGTGTTTCAAAAAACTCTGTGTGTCATCTCTCGTGGGGAGATTCCTTACGTAAAAATAAGATTAATTTCTCATAGCAACATAGGTCCGATTCCGCTTTGTTTCGTAGCTACAGGGTGTTAATGTCTTAATATTTTTTCGATTTATTATAATTTGTCACGCACGTTCCTAAGACGTTTTCTAAATTTCAATACTTCTATTATAAAATTTATCCCAAAGAATATACCTAGCTAGAAAAAGAATGGACTCTGCCATACTGAAAAATGGTCCTACAGAAGTGGCGCCATCTATTGAGCAGGGCTTGTTTTAAATGGATCGAAGCGCGAGCTTTTTAAATGAGCGTATTTATTGAATTTTGCTCTAAAATAATTAAATTTGATTATTAAATCTTATTATTTACACAAATTCAACAATACTAATAACAAGTGTTGTTCTGATGTGTAAAAAATAAGATTTAACAGTATAATTTATACAGTTATTAAATAAAATTAAAGCCAAACATGTGTAAATATTATTTATTATTTAAAGTTTTTATTTATATGTCAAGTATTTAAACATCGTTTATTATAATAAAACAAGACCAAATACGCCCAAAGTTTTGTAAATGGAGTAAAGCTACATTCGAAATCAATTCGCTGGCCGAGTGGCACTTCGACGTTAAAGTCGGCACGAAATTAACCATTCACAACAAATTTCAATTCGAATTTTGCGCATGCGTGTTTAAACGTTCTCCTGACATTTTTTAGGTTAGTTGTTGGTTTTGATTTTGGAAGAGTCAAAATCCGGGACAGTTGTTAATTAAGTTTTCCAAGTTTTTATGTTTAGAAAAATGGAAACAAAAACGTCATTTATTGATGATTTTTTCTAAAATGTGTTTGAAGCACCCAAAACTTTTTCTCGCCATTAATATGGGTCGGACACCCCATTTTTTGGGTTTTGGTAAACCCATTGGTTTTCGGTCAAGCTAATTATTGAGCTGCAACAATAATTGCCGTTTTTTTTAACAGCAAAGCAACAAGTCCTAATAAAATAAGTATAGCGTCCTTCACTCATTTTTCTTTTAATAATTATTCACTTTTCACAGGAAAATGGCCTTGTAACAACGACACAAACAAAATAATTATTAAAATTTAAATGTCAAATTTGTCATAATTGTCAAACGAAAATTCCGTGCTGAAGTGGAAGTTTGCAGCTTACTGTTGCTGCTACTTTATTAATAAACTGTTAAACTTGTTAGACAGCTCAAGTGAAGATTTGCAGGTACAATATTAAAACAGATTAATAATAAATAAACAAATCTAATCAAAATTTATATTTTTATAGCTTACAAAACATTCACGATCACTTGTTGTCTTGTTTTTCATGTTTTCTTTGAAATGTTCCTGACTTTAAGAAACAATGGCTGCATGATAAGCTTAAATTGTCCTAAAAAGTCATTCTATTTAGTTAATAAAATTTATTTACCTTTACTGCCTACATCCATTGCTTTTGGATGTAAATACAAAATATTACAAATTACAAAATTTTAGAAATTAAATTAGAATTTCACTCGAACTTCCAATATTTGCTTGATTTCTGTCACATAAATGACAATGATTGACAAACAAAACCAAAAAAAACTGAGAAAAACCCAAAGAAAAACCAGTCTTCTCGCGCTGGTTAGTTTGGTGACAGTTATAACCCATTTTTTCATGAACCGTGTTCCGTAATAAGAAAACTTTCAGGAAACCGATAGAAACGGAACATAAAACCATAACCAAGGTAAGCAACGGAATACGCCCTTAATATAATAATATCGACCCAGAAAACTAAATGCATGACGACATAAAAAGTACCACTAAGATGCAAACTGGAAATCGAGGGCAATGTTATCCAGCAAGAGATGAATTTTAAGTATCTAGGCATAGAAATCTCAGGATATGGTGATGTAGAAGCGGAGGTGCGAGAACGGACAACGAAGGCAACCAGAATAGCAGGATGCCTGAATGCCACAATATGGCGAAATAAAAATTGATTGAGGTGGAAACTAAAGCGAGAATTTACAAGGCAACGGTACGACCAATAATGACATACACTACAGAAACTCGACCTGATACAGCGAAAACTTAAAACTAAACAACTACTAGAGACAACCGAAATGGGAGTACTACACAGAATAGTTGGAAAGGCGCTTCTGGACAGGGAGAGAAATGAAAGCATAAGAAGAGCATGCAAGGTGGAAAATGTAAATGAGTGGGTACTCAGAGAAAGGAAGAATGGAACGAGCATATCAGCAGAATGGACAACAGAAGGATAGTGAGAGTTGCACGCGACAAATCACCGCTAGGTCGCAGAAGCTTAGGACGTCCACGAAAACGATGGAGACAACTTGTCAGTCTGACCGGTAGAGACTTAATACTAGATTATTTTCTTTTGTCTATGGTAGAGACGACGAAACCAAACAGGCGATTCGCCTACTATGAAGAAGGAAGAAGAAGAAAAAGAAAACACATTTATTTGTTTGGACGATTTCAGGGATGACTTAAAGGTATTGTATGTAAACTTACAATGTTTGGATGACTTAAAGGTATTGTATGAAAGGAATATTGCTGGTTGCTGTAGATAATTTTCTCAGGGAGAATACGTATTTTTATTTACAAAAATAAAAAGGACATTTTTAGATCAATAAAAATTTAAAAGGACAATTTGCTCCAAAAAAGGATTGCCCTTTTCAAAAAAGGACAGTTGGCAACCCTAACATTACGCGATGATGAAATTTTGGTCTCCTTTTATGTATCTTCGTTGTTCATAAGTGTTCTAATTCCACATACTTTGGGCTACCTGAAGGAATTACTGAACGCAAATGGTCTCGACAAGAAATCTGTGACTGAGTATATTTATCGCTCTGTATGAAACAAAATTGTGTCCAATTTTATCAATTTTTTTGGTCAGCGGGAAGGTACGGAAATGGGTAGATGTATTCATTTTGGTTAATATATTCATGAGCAGGTTTGAACTAGAGGCTAAAATTCAGTTTGAGTAATTTCCAAGAGTATGGTTTAAAGTATGTAAATGATATATTTACCGTTTTTGAAACATATTCTGACAAAATAGATAACTTTATTTCTGAAATAAATAATCGTATACCTTCAATTAAATTCATCTATCAAATTAAGAACAACGATAGATTGCCATTTCTAGATGTACATGTAACAGGGTGCCAATCAAAAAGTTGCCGCAAATAGAGGTTACCACGATTCAAAGTCGTTCCTACTATTTTATACGAGTCCGACAACAATGCGTCCGGGCATCTGTAACTCCTATAATAAACTTAGGAAAATATAGGTGCAAACCTAAAGCATATCTTAAGTATTAATCTGTGCCTAAGGTATGTACGGAAGTTTGTATTTCAGGAAAATATTTTAACTTCTACATGGTGGCTCCAAAAAGTGTGAGTGGATCGTGATTTTTAACATAGACTTAAAATATTTTATTTTAAGTCAATGTTTTTACCTCTATGATCGCGATTATACTTTTTAAATGGAAAACCCTGTGTATTATTAACTGTATATTAAATATGAAGGGTTCAGGGGACAAACATGATACGCGCCATTCTCTCGTGTAGTCGAGCACAGCCGTACCATCCTTTTCTCGAAGATATTAGCAGCACTTTTGACCACACTGTAACTTCGT